CTTTTCTGCAGGAAAAGAGGTTCACTCACGGCCAGAGTGGAGGCTGGTTCATGCAATGAGAGAAATATGTAAAGAAATAAGTGGATTTGAGAGGATGGTCAGGAAGTCCATAGAGGAAATAATGCCCAGATAGGGTCTTGAGGAGTAAATAGGCTGTCACATGACCAACAAGCCGGAGAGATGGTCAACGCGCAGTCTCAGAGATGGGAAGCAGGGTTTGGCATCACTGGGACGTTAAATGTGTGGTCAGAAGAGGCGAGAAGGCACCCTGAAGTGAGCTCTGGGCACTGGCCACTCTCATGAGCTCCAGACCTGTGTGTCCAGCTGGCTGCTGGCCTTTGCCACCTGGTAAGTCATAGCTACGTGATCAGAACTCAAGCTGCGGCAGGGCAGTAAGAAGCTGGGAAATTCCTTGACAAGTGGGATGAGGAAAGTGAGACAAATTAAGGCCAAATAACGAGCAATTTAGTCAGCTAATGAATCACAAGGTTTCATCTTTCCTAACCATGGACACTTCGGAGCAGATGGTTTATAATTCCCAACTGTCCAGGGACAGAACAGCCTCAGTTCCCATCCCTCTTCAGTGGCGTTCTTGATGACATTCTTCAAAAATGAAGCTAACCAGAAAATAACCACTGGCCCCTTTATACACGTTTGATGAATCAGCGTAGTCAAGGGCACACCTGAAAAGCTAAGGAACACTCTGTAAGACCGTCCCGAGACCTCCCCTAAGAGCCTGGCCCGCTCAGGAGAGATATAAAGCCTCAAGACAACAAAGTCACGGTGCACTCTTGTAGAGCACACCCACACCTTGTAGCCTAAACTCTAAGTGTCCCCAGGAGACTTGCAACCAGGGGAGCAGCAGCTTGACCCAGGCTAACCGCTAAACCTGTCTCCAAGCCCCCTTTTCTCTGACTTTTCCTCTCCTGTTGCTTCTCCTACCTTAAGCTCTCCCTTGGGTTCACCATCTCCAGCTTTAATAAACACTCTCAAAAGCCACCTGGACTCGTGCTGTGGAATCTTTCCTGCATGTGTCAAGAACCCACACACTAGCTGCGGGCGGACTTGCTCCGGGCCCTGATCCCATCTGGTAACAAAGCGATCACCTTTTCACCCTGGTCCCCTCCCTGCTCTGCTGCCCACTGCTCTTCCTCCTTTTTGGTGTGTTTGTTTTTTCTCTCCCGTCCCCATTCCCCTATATCCGTTACAGGGCTCACCGCCACACAGCTTTCTCCAAGCTAGAGCACCCCGTCGTCATCAGCTGCTTCCACGTCTGCACCGCCCCACAACCAGCTCACACACGCATCTCCCCTTCTTTCCTCTCGGATGTGTTCCACCCAGACTGTTACAGCAGCCTTCTGATCGATGGCTCCTCCGTCACCACACTGCCTTCCTCTCTCCCGTCCGGCCGAGTGTGCCGCGGGCTCCATGCCTCGGCCATGCCTACTCACTGGAACTTACGTGTAAGCCCACACTCAACGTTCACTGTATTTTCCGGATCGTCCTTGGGCATGTGCAGAGGGGCACATGATTAGAGCCGCCGAGGTTCACACAGTCTGAGCCGAGATAAACCAAGTGCCTCCTTCCCGTCTCAGCGCACACGGCCTGGTCAGTGCCGTGCTTTTCCATTCCTCTGCTTCCGGTGGACTTTGCTGCTTAAACGCCCCAGTTACAGTGCTGAGCTGTGGGGCTCCGCCGGGCCAGGCTGGCCCGTGCCTTCCAGAGAGCATGCGTGTGTCAGGGGAGCGTGGCTCAGCCAGTCGGGCCGTTGGCCGTGAGTTCAGTGTGGTGGAACTGACGCTGGGGCACACCCCGGAGGAGTGGGGGAACGCTCACAGGGTCCACGGGCCTGTTCCGTGACAGTGATGATGAAGCGATGGAAAAGGCAGAGAGCAGCTACATTTGGGGATTCATGAGATGACAATGGCTGTTCAAAAAGTGTAACAAAAAACCATTGTGAGGCTTAAAACCAAAGAAATATAAAGTTACATTACCCAAGGTCAGGAAAATACTGAGCCTTTCTTGACTGTTGTTTGATTATAAAGACATACGGCAGACAGTTATTTGTAAGCAAAGTATGCTAAGTAAGGCATCTTCAAACAGAAACACACATAAAACAGTTATGTATTGATAGTTGGCAGAAATGGCGACTAGAGGTTGTGGAGACCTAGCGCTGTGTTTCCGCCCGGAGCAGGGGTTCAGTATTTGCTGAGTGTTCTCGGGGGCTTCATAGACAACCACTATGAAAAATGAGAATCTCCTTGCGTTACTGTTTCACCTCTGTTGGGCCATTGTTCCGCCCCATTCAACGTCCCGTGAATGTGTTTTGCAAGAAGAAACACCTTATGCAGGAAATCTGAGTATGGAGAAACAGATGACTCGGGACACTGAGCCTCAGCTCGGCCCGTGTGGACATGGGCAGGAGGCACCGCGGTGGCCTGTCGGTGGGGTTGTTAGAATGGAAGTAAATGTTGCTTTCTAAAATATTTTTCTATATTGATTTTAGAGAGAGAATAAGGGAGAGGGAGAGAGAGAGAGAGAAAACATCAATTGGCCGTCTCCTGCATGCCCCCCACTGGGGATGGGCCCATAACCAGGGCATGTGCCCTGACCGGGAACTGAACCAGCGACCTCTTGGTGCAGGGTCGATGCTCAACCACTGAGCCACACCGGTGAGCTAAACATTGTCTTTAAAACAATGGGCAAAAGATATAGGCATGTCAAAAGTTCCACGGTATCAGCTGTTCTAACTTCATGGCTTTGCGACATCACGATACTGTGACTCCTGGCATTTATGTCTTAAGCTTGTGCAGTCAGCCACAGTGGGTTACGGACTCCTTCATAAAAATACTATACATGTGTCTGCATAAATGCCAGGTTTAAGAACAATAAAATGTAAAACGAATCCCTACCCCTCACTTGAAAGCCTCAGACACAGGTGAGGCACCCAGACTGTTACTGCCCGTTGCTAACATCCCAACGCTGGAGAGCCGTCGGGGCAGCTGGCTCCACAGAAATCCTCAGAAGCAGGGTGTCTGCTGACGGGAGCAAGTATGCAAGTCAAGGTGTATTTTACAGAAAATAGAAAATGTTTAATATATATATAAATTTATTTGCCTTGGCAATTATTTATTTACAATTGATGATTGATATCAACAATTGAGGTAAAAATATACATGAGGTATAAATATAATACTTAAATAAAATATCGTATTTGATTTCCGTTGGCAAAACAACGATGAATAAAATACTGCGGCATTTGCCCAGCAAGCTTCGCGGCTCCTCCCCTCCTGCTCCTCGTCTGAGATGCGCTGTGTTCGTGGGCAGAAGCGATGTGACTACATGTAAGTAAAATGCTTCAAAAGTCAGGCAACTGGAAAAGAAGGGAGCCTGAAATACAATCATCTTTTTATCCTGCTGTAAGTACCTCCCGGGTCTTCTCGGACGTGGTCTCTGGGCCCGCAGCCTGGGCGTCCCGAGGCCTATCAGAAATGCAGAGTCTCAGGCTCCCAGACGCCTGGGCCAGAGTCTGCACCTGAACACGACCCGGGTGGCCCGTGTGCATGCTCGGGTTGGTGGCATAATACATCCGTCCTGTGTGCCGCGCAGTTTCCAAGCACAGGGTCGCGCCTCCGGGTTAAACGTCACTCGCGGCCCGCGCATGTCCATCGGTCACCCGCACGCGTTACACCTAAGAAGGGTGCGGACGTGAATGTGCTGTGCGCTCAGGGCACTGCCCAGCGGGAGGTGATGGCTTTGCTGCCGCCTTCCGGGAGGACGCGGAAACAGACAACTCCTAGGTCAGGATTCAGACAGTATGATTGTCCTGCTCCACGCGGGACTCGTACGTAGCGTTTTTATTCTTCTCAATAAAACAATTGCACAATGCTGATGACAGAAGACATTACATAAATGCATACAATACGAAAAAGGAAAAACATTTAAGTTTTTCTTTTTTCTTCTAACACCAGTTACTAAATTATGATACCAATCTCTATTTAGAGATCTGTCTCCCTGAAACCAAGCACAATAAATTATCTTCCTCTCTACAGTTGTTGAATTACATAAAAACAGTTTAAACCATTAGTAATTGGTTAAGGAGGGTCAATTTGCTTAGTCTATAGAAGAATAAATAGGGTTGGGTCAAATGCATAGGTAGCTTCTCTGGCTAATGAAGAAACGTGGATTCAACAAGCCTGTTTATATTTTCTAAAATTAACTGAAGAACATAGTTTTGGTCTCATGTTAGTTTAAAACCGCCTTTCAGATCGTAACACTTAAATGCATCCCATCCTAAGAGCATCGTACGTGACAAAATAAGAACTCCCTGAAGCTGCAATGGTCCAGGACTCCTAGACGACCATCATCTCCCTTTGTCTAGTGTCAGAGTTACATTCAGTGCAATACATTGGTAAGGGAACACCAAGTACCTGTGACCAAGCAGGCCACTGGTCAAACAGAGCGACGTGAAGAGCACTGTGACATGCCCCTGTGACAAGCTGATACGACACAGAGACTCCCTTTGGCCATGTGTCTGCTCTGTCAGCTCGAGTTAGCAGGGAAATGGGGTTCTACTTCAGTCTCGCTGACTCCAGGGGTTCTGGGCTCTGATGTTCGCTCATCTCCACCTGGAGGGGCAACTGGGAATTTAGCTTTAATTTGGTAGCGACCTCTCACCCACTGCTTGGCTTTACGAAGCAGTACTTACTCTTTTCCTGGCTGCATCCAACGCGCCACTCAGACGCTGAGTAACAAACCTGACAACACAGGACTGTCATGGTGACTGCCTTTGGTTAGTGTCTTTGGCCGCACAGCAGGGCAGACCGGCGGGTGCCCACTCTCACACCCTGGGGCAGCAGCAGGGCAGCGTACAGGACAGTGGGCCCCGGGGCAACTCGGAGAGAACCGTGCGAGCAAGGGACTCGCCGAATCAGACACGCTTCAAAATATGAAATATATATCAGATTGCTATTTACATATATACAGTAAAGGGAGAGGTATACAAACATATGTACATACGCTATACATACATTTATTTACAGGTAGGAATATGCTTCTTAGAAGCCTTTAAATAGCAAATTAGGCAATGCACAAGGAAAATCCATTTAATTTTAGTAACATAGATAAATGTTTTGATTTTAAAAAATATAATATTAGTAGGGATATAGCCATCTCCAGGAAGGCTAGGAAAGTTCTCAGAAATCTGTGCATCATCCACATTCCGACTTCCCAGTGTCTCCACTTAAGACGCTTGTCAGTCAGACGCCGCCTCCCACGCCGCCGTCGCTCCCTCTTCCCTGAGTTAGCGTCACACCGGGACAACTCAGATTTTAGTTTCCGGACCCTCAGCAATGAGGGGCTGGAAGGAGTTTCTAATCCTGGCAACTTCTGCCGCACACAGGTGTCCAAAGCCTTTATTGTACCATTCTGGGGAGTGACCTCTGTGGGGACAAAAACCAGAGGGGGGTTGGGAAGGTCTTTCTCCACATCATGGCAGTTTGTCAGGCAGACAGGACTGTCCCTGGGCCCGGTCACCTGCCTCCTCGAGGACCTGAGGACCAGCGTCAGGCTACCTTTCGGTCCTCACTGGGCACTTTGGAGTGACACCCTCTTCGGGAAGATTCACACTGAATTCCAGAAGCGGCTGGAACTCAGCTTGTACCTCCCCAGACCGGGAACTTGCTTCGGCATCATGAACGCCGTGAGGAGGTTGGACTTAGGTCAGTGTCTCCTGACAGGACGGCAGCTGCAGGGAGCCGCCCAGGGACAGGCAGAAGGACACCCAGGGAGGGCCGCTGAGCACCCTGCGTGCTGGCTCCCGGGTGTTTGCGCGAGGGGCAGGCTGTGGAAGTGGGGACGGACCCGAACAGAGCCAGCTCAGGGCTTCCGGAACGGGGCAGGGCTCGGCAGGGCTCAGAAGGGCGGAGAGGAGGGGCCGGGAGCAGGGTAAGGGCTCTGGGGAAGAAAGGCCCAGTGCCGGACCATCGGATGGCAGAGGGCCCCGCCCAGCGCGGGACCATCAGACGGCAGACGGCCCCGCCCAGTGCCGGACCATCGGACGGCAGACGGCCCCGCCCAGCGCCGGACCATCGGATGGCAGACGGCCCCGCCCAGCGCCGGACCATCGGATGGCAGACGGCCCCGCCCAGCGCGGGACCATCGGACGGCAGACGGCCCCGCCCAGCGCGGGACCATCGGACGGCAGACGGCCCCGCCCAGCGCGGGACCATTGGACGGCAGAGGGCCCCGCCCAGTGCCGGACCATCGGATGGCAGAGGGCCCCGCCCAGCGCCGGACCATTGGACGGCAGACGGCCCCGCCCAGCGCGGGACCATTGGACGGCAGAGGGCCCCGCCCAGCGCGGGACCATCGGATGGCAGACGGCCCCGCCCAGCGCGGGACCATTGGACGGCAGACGGCCCCGCCCAGCGCGGGACCATCGGACGGCAGAGGGCCCCGCCCAGCGCGGGACCATCGGACGGCAGAGGGCCCCGCCCAGCGCGGGACCATCGGACGGCAGACGGCCCCGCCCAGCGCGGGACCATCGGACGGCAGAGGGCCCCGCCCAGCGCGGGACCATCGGATGGCAGAGGGCCCCGCCCAGTGCCGGACCATCGGACGGCAGACGGCCCCGCCCAGTGCGGGACCATTGGACGGCAGAGGGCCCCGCCCAGCGCCGGACCATCGGACGGCAGAGGGCCCCGCCCAGTGCCGGACCATCGGATGGCAGAGGGCCCCGCCCAGGCGGGACCATCGGATGGCAGAGGGCCCCGCCCAGCGCGGGACCATCGGATGGCAGAGGGCCCCGCCCAGTGCCGGACCATCGGATGGCAGACGGCCCCGCCCAGTGCGGGACCATTGGACGGCAGACGGCCCCGCCCAGCGTGGGACCATTGGACGGCAGACGGCCCCGCCCAGCGCGGGACCATTGGACGGCAGAGGGCCCCGCCCAGTGCCGGACCATCGGATGGCAGAGGGCCCCGCCCAGGCGGGACCATCGGATGGCAGAGGGCCCCGCCCAGCGCGGGACCATCGGATGGCAGAGGGCCCCGCCCAGTGCCGCGGAGCCAGAGGCCAACACCACACCTGCCCGGGAGTCGCCCTTACCTCAGGTCTGTCCTGCACAGGTGGGTGAGTCTCGACTTGCCGGAGCCACAGGGCTCGATGAGGTACCGAGAGTCCATCACCACGGCCCGCACGCCGCCCATGAGCTGCGCGTCCGCGTGCTCCACGGACAGCGACACCAGCGTGCACACACCTTTGGGCAGGTCGGTCTTCCAGGTCCTGCGGGCAAACCAGCCGCTCATCAGCGTGTGGCCACGAGACCAGGGCTCGGGGCTGAGGGTGGCACATATCTTCCTGCTCACACTTCAGTCCCAGTCACCAGATTAAGGAAGTGCCTATGTGGGTGCGGGTGAAGTCTCGGGCACCCGGATCCGCCCTGGAGGCCAGCGCAGGCTGCAGAGGCCTCGCAGCTGTGGGCTCGGGAGCTGCTCGCCCAGTTCGCGCAGCAAACACCACTGGGCAGAGATTTCCAGGCCCGGAGGCGCCGCGAGGGCACAGCGGTACCCGGCACAGGAGGGCGGCAGAACCCAGCGGTCAGTGCAGTGACACGGGCATCACAGCGCGGGACTGCGTGGAAGCGGAGGGGAGGCAGACAGGGAGGCTTCTGGAGTAGATAATGCTCAGTTCCAGTCTTACAGGATAAATGAACTCGTGATGCTTCGTGTGAAGAAGCTAGACCTGTGACTGCCACCTGTCTGTGAACACCTGGGTGGTCCTGAGTGGGAGAGGAAATAATGCAGGGATCCGACTTCAGAGAACAGCTGGATCACAGTGTGCACGCTCTGAGAAGGGGACGGCTATATGAGGAGGTAGTGAGTTCCCTGTCACTAGAACTATTCAAGCCTAGAGGGACCCCCATTTGGAGTAAGACTGTTGATGGAAGCCAGAAACCATGAGAGCATTTCTACAATTTATACCATAGTATACAGGTTTTATTATTATCATCCCAGTTGTTTATGTCGTAAATCTTATTCCCTCACTTAGCCATCTCGTCTGTAACTGTGTCCTGTCCTACGACACCACAAAGAGAAACTATTATGCATCCCCTACAAGACCTTGGGAGCACAAGTCCCACACAAATGCTGAGCTACTTCTCCCTGGGTGAGACTATTCCCATTTCTCCATGATAATGTGATTGATAACAAACAATGAGTGGTAATGTGTAAGTACAGTGGGAACACCTGCAGGCACTATCACCGGAAGCTCACGAGGGACCAGGGAGGGCAGCCTGAGAATCCACCCTGACAGGACACCAGCCTAAGCGGGGGACAGTCTGGGGACAGGGAGCGTTCCAGCCTGTCACCACCTCGCCACCCCCATCGCTTTCTGTCTTCTCGCATCAGAACCAAAAGGAGTCCCTGGTGCAGCAGCCAGGTCTGGTGCATCCTGAATCTCCCTGCATTTCGAGTCCTTCCCCCTCACGGCCTCGGGTCCCCCACCTCCCCCTGAAGTCTTGGATCAAACACGTACTGGTGCGGAGAGAGTCGGCCCTGAGCACTGTGTTGAGAATCCCATTCCTACTCCCCTGTACCTTACACCCCGGCATGAGTCACCCTGTCCCTTGCTCATCCGGTACTGACTCCGCCTAGTACCCCAGGGGCCCTGGGGGGCAGGACTGGGTCTGCAGAGTTGCCTGCAGGCTCCCCAAAGGCGCCGGGTGCCTGCTCAGGTGATGGGCTGACACACGGAGAAACCTCACTGGTAGATGTTCGGGAGGAAGCAGGTTCTATCCTGAGCGCCCTCAGCTCCGCTAAGGGGTGGCAGAGACAGGCGGTGATGATGACGCGGCTCCGTCCCCGTCGGTCGCTTGCAAGAGTGAAGGTGTGAAGTTTAACCTCGACCAGGTGACTAATGTCCCAATAACTGGAATGAGCCACCCACACAACGGCGCACATTCTCCACCAGGATCCCCAGGTTGCCAAGATAAACACATACATTTAGGGAAAAATGGCCCTTAACATTCAAGGTCCCGAGGACCAACTCCAAAGGCATAAATATCCTGTGGAAAGTAACCTCTAGTCTGCCATGAAGGCTAGTTTCATAAAGAAACTATCTTAGACAGACATTTGGGAATTTAGTGATCCTTTTATATCATTAATGCAAGAGAAGAGATACTGTTATCAATAAAGAAGGATATATTGATTTAATTATATTTATTTGTGTTTCCCAGCCCTCTGTGCCCTCCTGCGATTCAGTACCAGCCCCCAGCCCACGAGGGCTGCACTGCACACTGTGCGCCAAACGCCCACGCACACCCAGAGGGCGGGCTGCAGGCTCAGCCCACAGCCCTCGGGCAGGCTCAGCCCACAGCCCTCGGACAGGCTCAGCCCACAGCCCCCCTGCAGGCTCAGCCCACAGCCCTCGGGCAGGCTCAGCCCACAGCCCCCCTGCAGGCTCAGCCCACAGCCCCCCTGCAGGTTCAGCCCACAGCCCTCGCTGCAGGCTCAGCCCACAGCCCCCCTGCAGGCTCAGCCCACAGCCCCCGGGCAGGCTCAGCCCACAGCCCCCCTGCAGGCTCAGCCCACAGCCCTCGGACAGGCTCAGCCCACAGCCCCCCTGCAGGCTCAGCCCACAGCCCCCGGGCAGGCTCAGCCCACAGCCCCCCTGCAGGCTCAGCCCACAGCCCTCGGGCAGGCTCAGCCCACAGCCCCCCTGCAGGCTCAGCCCACAGCCCTCCTGCAGGCTCAGCCCACAGCCCCCCTGCAGGCTCAGCCCACAGCCCTCGGGCAGCAAGCTCGGCAGGCCCTGGCATCTCACCGGGCACCAAGTGCCTTGTGCCCAGGCTGGTGCGGCGGGGGGCTCTGAGCCACGAAGCCGTGCTCCTGAACGCGGCCCCGCTGCAGCCCGGAGGCCCCGCTGCAGCCCGGAGGCCCCGCTGCAGCCCGGAGGCCCCGCTGCAGCCCGGAGGCCCCGCTGCAGCCCGGAGGCCCCGCAGGCCAGACGGCTTTCCCAGCGGAGAGGGGCAGGAGCAGGAGTAGCCGCGGGCTCACCCTGCCTGCTGGGCAGAAGGTACAACTGGGCGAACGGCAGCTATTCTGGTGACTGTGTTTGCGGAAAGGAACAATACGGCCTGATAAACCGTATGCTCCGAAGTGAGGGGCCTAAGAGAGCCCGGCAGAGCTGTAAACTGGGCGGCGTGGTGTTCCCAGGGGGGCTGGTTCAGGGGCAGGGCCCTGGGAACCCCTGACTGCAGTGCCCGCCCGCGCCAGGCCCCGAGCACCAGCTCCAGAGGCAGGCTTACCTGAGGACCACAAAGTCTTTGGACGGATGGGGCGCCATGCTGTTCAACACGTACTGATAGATCTCCGTCTGCTTGTCCAGGGCTTCCACCACCTTCCACTGCACGAAGTCCTCGTCCCACAGGTGGCGCTCCCGCAGCACGCGGTTCAGCACCACGGAGGGCGGCGCCTCCACCTCCACGGAGGCCTTCCAGAGCTTCAGCGGGTTCCCGTCTCCCACCTCGGGAAAGACACCATCAGAGGCTAAAGAGGTCAGCAGATTCCAACACAAGCTTACCACAGTCCACTGCTGTTCAAAGGAAAACCAGCGACTATCTACCTTGAGACCGTGATCCCACATACCTCAGGGTTACTGTTTTGTGACGGGAGTCCTAAAGACCGAAATGGTAATGATAATAAAAATAACCACCAGCACACACCACCTGTTGGCAGGTGCTGTTCGCACCCATTTGGTTTTTAAAGAGCCCTCCTCTGACAGTGGTATTATCATTTTGTCCCTTATGCAACTGAGGAAACAGAGGCACTGAGAGGTGTGTGACTTGCCCAGCGTCACAGCTAAGGGGTGGAGACCAGACGGGGATCCAGTGGTCGGGCATCATGGTCTGCACTCTGACTATGTGCCACCTGGTCGCTTGGCAGTCTCCAGAGAGGGTCTTTGCCTGTTGGTGTGTATGCCATGTCCTGTGGGCACTGCCATCTTTAAAGCACACCAAATTCCTGGCTGTCACCTGCGGTTCTTTGGGGGTGACTTTGTACAAGCCCCGAAATTACCTTTTTGAAAGCGAGGTCTGTGTTGTCTGGGCTGGAGCACGTGACCCATCCTTTAAACTTCTCCTTGGCTTCCTTCTGGAGGCCCTGGACAAGCTGGTCCAGGTAAGTGTGGAAGGTGGCCCCGCCCTCTTCCAGCTGCGCCCCCAGGTCTTCCAGAGTGGGAGCGTGGATCTCAGCCTCCACGTAGGAATCATGGAACTGGGCGACCATCTCGTGTGGGACCTGCACCCATAGATGCATGAAAGAGAACATGCCAAGTTAAAGAAAAGCTGAGACGGAGAGAGAAAGCAAAGTCATTTCGTCGAAAACCGTGTTGGGTCGGGCCACGTGCCGTGGGGTGGGGGATGTGTTTCTAAGATCAGTGTCGAGGCTGCTGGCGGAGTGGGGCTTCCGAGAGTAGGAAACATGAAAACCCGTGTCCGAGGCTGTATTTATTACTCAAAACAGGGTGACGACTTCCCATCCAGTCTCTCCATTTTCCCTTTAATGTACTTTTATTCAATTTGGCAAAATGTCGGCTCAGGACACTTGAAGCAGACAGACTTGAGGGAAACACCAACTGCGACTTAGAAATACTTCACCCTTTAAGTGCACTGTTCTCACTTACAAATGCCAAATTCAGCACAGAAAGTACGCCAGAAGCCGGCTCCTTACTTCTCTAACATCTCTGCGGCCGTATTCACACACTAGTCTGATTCCCAGGCAGCAGGGACTGGTCAGTATCACACACACACATACAGAACCGAATCAAATCCCGCACTAAAATAAAAAATAACACAACTGACTGGCGTGCCTTGAACCTGGCAGCCGAAGGCGACACACTGCTCTGGTGAAAACCATCAACATGGTGACGCCAGGCGTCGTAACTGTCAAGCCTCCGTCATACAGATAGCTCCTCGCATTTCGCGGAGGCAAAGACCAGAGCTAGAGAGGGTACTGTTGTCATTATGAGCTCGGGAACAAACAGGAGCCACAAATGCAGCCGCTGTCCCTCCAGCTCCAGGGGCAGTCCCCGCAGCCCGCTCACCTCGAACAGCCGGTCACACTCCACGATCATGTGGGCGAGGCCTTGCGCGGCGGCCAGGTTCTCGCTGAGGTCCTTCTGGTCGGGCTTCCCGGCGGCGTACTTCTTCTGTATGACCCTGTAAGGGAAGGGACAGTCCCAAGCAGGGCCCACGCCAAGGCACTTTCCCCAAAGCTTATCCCTTTTGTTTTCTGTTCCTGCCCAGAGGCTCTGCTGACCCCAGCCTTTCTCATCCCAAACAATAGTGACCGCACGTCGCAGGTACCCCGATTCGGGCTGAGTCTGCTAGTCCACAAGGAAAAGCCTCGGACAGACACAGGGCAAGACGTAACTGCTGGGGGAGAAATGCATCCGTTTCCAAGACGTAACTGCTGGGGGAGAAATGCATCCGTTTCCCCAAGTCTGAAACCACTTTGCCAGAAGCTGCTGGGCTCGGGCCTTGTCTAGTCCCTTTTCTTTCAAACTTCAAGACTGTAAAACACGACTTCATGTGCTCCCCCCCACCCCCCCCACACACACACAGGTCTTCTGGGTCACAGCAAGCGTCCTTCGATGCTGCTTGGACCACCCTATGAATCTGAGCGCACGAATTAGGTCACCCGACACATTTTCTGATCACAAATGATCAAGTTGGAATCGAGTGGGCCCGTCTTCCTCCCCTTATGCACGTGGCCGTGAGCACGACGGGACTCACCTGGGAGAGCTCTCTTTCTTCAGCAAGTTGAGATGGAAGAGCGAGGGCGCCAGGCACACGGCCAGGTTCATGGGCGTCATCTGGTTCTCCTGCACCGAGTGCACCACGTCTTTGAGGAAGCAGAGCAGCGTGTGCAGGACTTCCCGGCTCTCGTCGGCCAGCAGCAGGATGGCGGCCTGCACCGCCTGCAGCCGCTGCTCGCTGGGCACGTCTGCGGGGAGTGGGGCGCAGTCAGGGCGGCCAGAGCGCAGTCAGGAGAGGGGCAGCCCCGCCCCGACATGGAGCCGCACTCAGACATCATCAACAGCCCCAGGCTGCTCAGGAGGACGCGAAGGCCAGGCCTGGAACCCCAGCCGGCCAGCTCCAGGGCCCAGTCTCGCCGTTCATCCCGAGCAGCGCCCCTGCCCCCTTCACACCATCCTCCGTTCGGGTGGGAGCTGCGAGGCTGGGGCCCTGCTGGCCTGGCTGCCCTCTCGCCCGCCGGCCCCCGACGGCTGCGGAGTACTGCTCAGGGTGCCCAGGGTCCGAGGTCTGGGGATGGCCGCCGGCCTCTCCCCACCCCTGGGGGAGCAGCTGTGAGTGGTGGGGCTGCTTTGCCCTCTGAGCTGATGCCTAAGGGCCAGCCTGGCACGTTCACCTCCTTCCTCCGAGCCCCCAGGGCTCAGTTCAGAGGAGGCACGTGGCTTCATGGGGGGCCTCAGGCCCCCCACTCCCGCCTAGAACATCATGGAAACCAGGCTGGGCTAAGGAGGAGCCAGGCTCCCTAAAGCGAAGTCCATCCCCCTTCAGGGTGGTCACTGCGGGGGATGTAGGCCCTGGTCATGTCAGCTCCGAGGGAAGTCGGCCCCACCAGCGGGAAGTGGAGTGAACGGGAAACCGCGAGTGGGTGCAGGTGCGCTCGCGGCCCCGCCCGGCTCCGCTGGGCCCGCCCCGCCCTTGTTCTCACTCTGAGCACAGGCGAGCATTCGCTTGGGTTAACATCGTCGTTTCTTTAATCCTCACCTGAGGATACTTTTTCCATTTTATCTTCAGATAGAGTGGGAGAGAGAGAGAAACATCGATGTGAGAGAGACACATTGATTGGTTGCCTCCTGCACGACCCCTGACCAGGGCCAGAGACCAATCTGCAACCGAGCTACATGCCCTTGACCAGAATCGAACCCTTGACTCTTTGGTCCGCGGGCTGACGCTCTAACTGCCAAGCCAAGCCACCAGGGCTGCTTTGTTCTTCAAACACCATGTTCTAGAACAGGTGTCTGCAGGAGGCTGTTGGTGCTTGAAGGGGTGGGGAGACGGCCTGGAGACAACCCGTGGGGGTCGGAAAACAATTAGAATTTTCAGTGGTGTTTGTGTTTTCTCTCATGCTTTAAAAGAGCTGACTGGATGTGTTTTATAATGTGCACAGTATATCCAAATATATTTATATTATTAAAAAGAAGTAAATCTACATGTTCGGATCTTTACCCCTGGTAGGGACGCATGGTCAAAGCATCTGGCGCCTGCTGTGCCTGAGGGGCGACAGCGGCCCTTCTGCCCGGGCCCTGCCCTCCCCATCCCCCTCCCCAGGGCGGGCACAGTCCTGGCTCCTGTCTGCCAGCAAAGCCGAGCTCCGGGGAGCCTGGCCGTCACTATGCCTCTGCCCCCATCCCCAGCGCACCATCCACAGTGTGCCGGCAGAAGGCGGATCTGGCTTTAGCACAGAAGAGCCAATTTGTTCAAATTATAGTAAAACCTTTTTCTTGGTCGTGCTGAAGCAGAAGCAGATTCTACTACTGACTTCAAATGTGTTATGCGTTCAGCTCGGGCCGGTGCACTGCCTTTGAGATGCTGCTTTGGGTAAGATGTCCAGTGTGTCCTGGTTGGACTAGGGATTGCCAAGCTTCTATCATGGCTATGTGTTGTCTCAGCTTCCTTTCTCCTCACGTGCTCCTTCTTCCCTCAGGAAATGTCTTCTGTACATTACATTCTACTAAAAATACTTGCAAAAGTCAATGACGCATCCCTAAATTCTGCATTTGTTTCGGGTCCCCTCCTCTGTGACGCTGACACTCCTGAAGCTGCTGAACCTCTCCTGAGGCTCAGGCGCCGGTTTTAGATCCGCGCTCCTAGGTGCTGGTCATCTGTGAGTGTGTGGACGGCTAGCAGCACCTCCACGTCAACATCCGGCCCATTCCAAACACCTGCCCCCCGCCCCCCGCCAGCAGCTTCGCCCCTTTCTTTCCCTACTCTTCCCGGCACCAGGCCTCAGGGTTGTCTCCGACCCTCCACTCTCTTCCCTCCTGTGAACAAGTGGGCGTCACATATGTTCACTAACCACCCAACATCCTAATTAACCATCTGATGAAAACCCAAGAAGTAGCGCAGCGAACATCAGAACTGCTCTGGAGGACAGGAGAAGGAGCTGCCCTCCCTTCCCAGTACTAGTTTGAAATGTGGACCATCCGTGACCTCAGGCTTCCGGTCTCACGGCTGGAAGCGGCTGCAGGTCACCCAGAGCCTCAGTGGAGCCTCTAGCCCTCCACTCTCATCCCGCCCAACACCTGTGCCTCGCCACCTCCAGACTCACGGGTCCAAAGTGTAGTTCTGGCAGAAGCAACCTGGCGGCCCACTCAGTACCCAGTCTCCGTTTTCCTCCGTAAGAACACGCGTTCTCTGCAGGTGGGGCTGGAGGTGCTCAGAGAAGCTGGTCCTCCCCTCAGACCCAGGGAAGCACCATTTCTGCCTAAAGCAAAAGTGACCCTCCTGCTCTGCCTCCTTCCAGCGATGCCTTCGGGGGAGAAGGTGCAAACCATCTCTGGCCTACAGGACCAGGATAAATGTCAGGAACTCGTGGAAATGTATCTTTCTGAGAAAAAGAGACATATGCCCAAGGAGAAGCCCTCTGTCCCCTTTTAGCCCTTGGATGTGATTTGGGAAGGCATGCTAATCCTAAGTGTGGCACTCATACTGAGACCTGAAGGGGCCACCAAGACAGGGGACTTTCAGCCCAGGCATCACTGATCATGGAATTAACTGGCTATGAAATTGTTTAATTTCAGACTGCTTGTTATGTGCATTATATAATGCCCTTGTTTTGTTTTCTAAAATTTTTATTGACTTTTGAGAGAGAGAGAGAGAGAGGGTGAGAGAGAGAGAGAAACATCAATGTGAGAAACATCAATCAGCTGCCTCCTGCACGCCCCCCACCGGGGATCAAGGCTGCAACCCAGGCATGTGCCCTGACCAGGAATCAACCTGCAACCCTTTGGTGCACGGGTCGATGCCCAACCGACGGAGTCACACCGGCCAGGGAGTATAATGTCCTTACTGTTTAAACAACAGCTGGAGTTCTGATTCTGTCTTTACAAGTGAGAGCCTCGCATCAACACCCCAGGTTCCCCAATGCTTTATGGGTCAAGTATTAATTATTTGCCCTGTGCCCATCCTCAGCATGTCTGCACTCTGATTTTTCAGGGTAATTTGGCACAGCACTGTACATTTACCATTCACGCCAGCCATAAACACCCTGCCATCTCCGGCCTCATGCTCGTGCTCACGCTGTTGCGTCACTCAGCACGTGTTCCTTGCACGTCTCAACCTCCAGCTGTCAGCTCTCACGTCCCTGTTCCTCATCTCAGCCTCCCTGGTTTTCTCTTTAACCTAATTACGGGATTCTCCAGTCTCGCTGTACTGCCATTATTGGTGTGCGTGTCCTGTCCCCCTGTGCTGCAGGGCCCGTAGGAGCTGGGGGCCGGTCTTCCCAGCCTGATGCTCAGCATGGGGCCCTGCACACAAGCACACTCGCTGACTGTCCTCTCAGCTATAACCGACCCTGCTGGGATCTGGTGTCTCGCTGATGAGTCACAGAAAGGACGAAAGGCATTGATATCTTGGGTAATCTCTCATTCACTTTTGGCTAGTGTCAACCTTAATTTCAGAACTGATTACATGTAAAGATTCACATACGGTATTTCCAAACCATAAGAGAGGCTTAACTGGAAAATACAGCTCAATCTCTATGGCAACACCACCATGAACCCCTGCGTTTGGGCTCTAGCAGCACATATCACTAATTTAACCTATCCAACTTGCACAAAATGATATTGATTGAGTGGATCACCATTTTACCCTGTTTTTACAAGCGGTACTTTTTGAATGTGTAATCTTGTAGACTCCTTAAACACATTTAGGACCGATTTCTCTACTGAGGGACCATCTTCAATTCCATGTGCAGGTCTACTTCAGGCATATTTGGCTAAAAACTCAAAGTCCGTGGGCCGAATAACTTTTTTCCTAAGGAACTGAGGCTGGGCCATCAGACTAATTTATAATGATAACATTATCACATCTAGAAAGAGTCCATGACCATTACTAATATCCCCTTTGCAATTACCTTAGTAGGTTATGCCTTTTAATTAAAAATTGTTATTTTCATGATTATTTTAATTATAGAGGCTTGGCTGAGAATTATCAATTTAACATCACTTAAAAAATTCCAAATGAAAACATAAATTGCCCTGACTGGTGTGGCTTGGTGGTTGAGCATCAACTCATGCACCAGGAGGTCGCTGGTTCAATTCCCGGTCAGGGCACATGCCCAGGTTGTGGGCCCGATCCCCCGTGGGGGGCGTGCAGGAGGCGGCCCATCGATGTTCTCTCTCATCAATGTTTCTACCTTTCTCTCCCTCTGCCTTCCTCTCTCTCTAAAATCAATAAAGAAAAAAAATTTAAAAAAAGAAAACAGATGAGTTAAAAGCCTAAAGCTCACCACTTAAAATACGCTGTATTCCAATACATCTGCCTTTTCCTTCCAGTCATTTTAACACTTTTGCCTTTGAGTTTCATACATTTCGAGGAGAACGGTGAATTTTAGAAAATTAAATGGGTTTTTATAAACGCCTACACACAAAATAAATTCTATTGTACTTCCTTTTCATTTTAAATTTATCAAAAGTGCATTGAAAGTTACTTTTAGATCTTAGGCCAAAACCTATTGAAAAGGCAAGTACTGATGTTAAAAATGTATTTTCAAATGCATAAAATATGGCCTGGACATTTCCACGTCAAACCGTGAACAAAGCTACGTCTGGAAAGGCGTGCGGAGCGGTCGCTCTGATCTACCCTGTGCGCTCGGCCTTGCGTGCGCACTGACGGCACATCCGTGGCATCTCCCCGAGGCCAGGCGCGGGGGGCCGCCCTGCTGCGGGCACTTACACTGGTAGATGTGGAGAAAGGTCTCGCTGAGCTTGTTGGTGAAGAGGGGCTCGGGGAGGTCCCGGAAGAACTGCTTCACCATGTCCGCCACGTCGTACGCGGACTGGTCCTCATAGCTGACGTTCTCAGGGAAGTTCTCGTTCATCTGACGTAAGGCCTGGATTCTAGACTTCACACCCGATTTTCGGAACAGGCCCACCTGAAACGAGTCACAGGCATGTGTTAGCGAGGCCACGTCGGCCCACACTGCACACGCCCTTCCTACGGCGGGCGCCCGGCAGGGGCCAGGTGTGGGGCCCGCACTGGCACCCAGCCAGCCAGCTGTGAGCGGCGGGTGGCTCCTCCGGCAGCAGCTGAACACCGACTCCTGGCCCACAGAACGGAGAGTGGGAATGCTCCACCTCGCCGAGGAGAATACACGTGACTGAGTTTGTCACCTGCAAAGTCCTAGAACAAGTACATGCTACTGTTTCATTCATTTATTCACCAGGTAGGGATTCGAGACCCCGTGTGGCAGGCGCACGTCCAGTTCCTGGGGCCGCAAAGTGCCTGCTCTCGTGCTGACACTGAAGTGAGGCTCTGAGATGGGGGTCAGGGGAAGCTTTGGGGGATCCCAGGCAAACAGCCATCTTGAGGGCAAGGTTTACAGGGACTATGCCCATGAAACAAAATAGTAACCGTGAGCACGTGTTCTGATTTCAGTCTTACTCGCTTTTCTTCTCTGGGATTTGTGACACCGCTGTGCGTGTTTCTCAGGCAACGCCTGGTATCCCCTCTGCCTGGTTAGCTACACAGGCTCTGGGTCTGCTGAGATCGAGGCCTGGCTGGCTTTCCTCAGACTCCAAGACATTGTCTCACGCTTCCTGCATCCCTAAGCCCCGGGCTCGTAGTCCGCTTGACGAGAACGGATAAGGCCCATATGGCCGACGGGACGAGGGCCGCGGAGCAGGGCCGGGAGCGGGGCGGCTGCAGGTCAGGGGCCAGCCCTGCAGCCTCTGCACACGCTGGCCCAGCCTCTAGCTCCAAGACAACTGAGCTTCCCTGGGACCCTGGTTTGTAGGGAATTCGTATGTTTGCTATTTTTAAAGCCTGTAGGACACTGAGTTGCTCAAAACTCAGTCCTTCAACCCACAAGGTCCACTTCTCTCACTCCCTAGGGGCTCGCTTTGGAAAGCGAGGTGGGTCACCCCAGGTCAGACAGGCCTGGAGAAACATGCCAGGCAGCCCCACTGAGTTCAGGTGTCCGAGGACAGCTCTCTCGGTTGCTGCTGTAAAAGGAGGTGGCCCTAACCCTTTAAACTGCAGGGACAGCCAGGGAAGACTTCCAGGCAATCAGAGAATACGGAGGTGGTGTGTTGCTGTTGTTGCTGTTTGGTTAATCCTCAGTCAAGAATATCTTCCCATCGATTTTTAGAGAGTGGAAGGGAGGGAGGGACAGGGAGAGAGAAACATTGATGTGCGAGAGACATATCGATTGGCTGCCTCCCACATGACCTTGACCAGGGCCAGGGATCTAACTTGCAACCCAGATACGTGCCCTTGACCAGTTGCACCCACAACCCTTTGGTCCACAGGCCAACGCTCTAACCACTGAGCAAACCAGCCAAAGCGATACTAAGATTTTTGTAAATGTCAGCTAAATGGCTCATAGGGGAAATTATAATTTACTACTTGTCTTTGGCAATAAAAACAGAATTCTTCGCGATGTGTCATTGCATTCCAAGGCTTATCACCCTAATTCTACAGATCAGTCTATTCAGGCATGTCACTTAACACATTAACTGCTTTCGTTTCCATCCTTAAATCTGGCATAGCTAGAAAATGCAACACCTGGCCACGCTTTGGGGCTCTCCTAGAAGAATCTCCTCGGGCAGCTACTCCAAACTTCACCGAAGTGCATGAGAAGAAAGCGTGTGCTGCAGAAGAGACGGCGGGGTGTCGGCGAGAGCTCGCGGGATGAGATCCGCCTGCGTGTGCTCCCATCCCAGATCCTCTGATTCCGGAAGGGGACCCCGACTGTCCCAGGCTGCGCACAGGGGTCCCAGAATCTAAGCACCCTGAACATGAATTAATTACTAAGTGTGAGTCACATTCATCATCATGTGAGCTGGTGTTTATTCCGTCCAAGAATTCCTGTTACTTTTTTCAGTAGAGAAAAATGGCTCAGGATTTACAAAGAATAAAGCAGGCGCGTGGTTGTGCGAGAATGACTGAGCGTGACTCTCCTCTGTGCGCTGCGTCTTGTTGGTGTGTTTCTGGCGCACACCCGTGTGCGTGCACACACTCACCAGCGATGTTTTCTTTGTATTGTTCCGTTCCCAACTCTCCAGTTCCGTTGGATACTGTTATCTTGGTTATTCTGGACACGTGGGAGCCCCTCAGCTGTGGGCTCAGGGCTGCTTGTTCCGACTCACAGCTCACAGGTGTCCAGAGAGGTGTCGGATATCTATTTGTTCTTCCCCGAATTCTGACAACCACCTTCCTGTCCCACCCTCCACTTCCAAAGGGCGTGGGAAATATCTGCGGGTGGTGCGGATTTCTATTGGAAGCACAGAAGGAAACTTCTTTCCGAAACCTAACAAAGAAAAGGTGGTCTGAAACGAGACCAGATGCCTGGTGTCAGCGCTGAGCACGGCGGGAGGAAAGGGGAGGAACTCCGGGCTCAGCACCGTCCCGGCCGATGGAGGGGCGAGCCTGAGCCCACGGGCTCCCTGCTACGGCCACTCGGGGACGGGGCTCCTGTGACAGGCAGTGGAAACTCCCTGCACGGTGCACGCAGAGGTTTCTTTTAACGGTGGGGAGCCTCAGACCAGAGAGAACAGCCCCCCACCCGCCTTCACGGACAACCCGGGCGGTGGCAGGAGTGAGTGCCAATCATACCTTCTTCTCCAAAACGCTTTCAGAGCGCGGATAATATCGGTCTTTTTGGCTAAAAATGTTTTTCCAAGTAAAAAATGGACAACTGAAGAAACAATGTAAAAATCCGTTGCCCCTTAGAGCACCTCTCATCCCTAGTGAAGGAGGCTGCCCCGGACCCCAGCCTCTTCAGAGGAAGACCCAAGGGGTGCACACTGTCCTCCTCCTGCTCCATGTCTGTCACCAGTAGGCAGGCGACCAGGGCCCACACTTCAATGTTCTCCTGTCTCTCTTTAGAAATTCTTAATTTATAAACAAGGAATTTCACATGGTCATGCTCCCACATATTTTTTAAAATGTATCTTTATTGTTGAAAGTATTACAGATGTCCCTCCTTTTTTATCCCCATTGACCCCCTTCTCCTCGGTTCCCCCTCCCCCCACTTCCCTCTGAGGTTTGTCAGTCTGTTCCCTACTGGATCTATTTTGTTTGTCAGGTTTTTTTTATTCATTAGATTCCATAAATAAGTGAGATCATGTGATACTTGTCTTTCTCTGACTGACTTATTTCACTTAGCAATACACTCCCCAGGTCCCTCTATGCTATCTCAAAGGATAAGAGATCCTTCTTTTTTATAGTTGCATAGTATTCCATTGCATAAGGCATCAGGGCGTGTGATGGACAGGCAGCAGGGAGTGTGACCAACAGGCAGCAGGGAGTGTGGCCGACAGGCAATCAGGGTGTGTGATGGACAGGCATCAGGGAGTGTGGCATCAGGGAGTGTAACAGACAGGCATCAGGGCGTGTGACGGACGGGCAGCAGGGAGTGTGACCAACAGGCAGCAGGGCGTGTGATGGACAGGCAGCAGGGAGTGTGGCATCAGGGCGTGTGACAGACAGGCATCAGGGCGTGTGACCTACAGGCAGCAGGGCATGTGACCGACAGGCAGCAGGCAGAGGACACCTGTACTGAGTATGAAGTGTCTTCAAGCATAATTGGGCTTTTAAAACTCACTGCTCCATTAGGAGAGGCTGGGTATGAGCATTGCATTAGCATTCAAATCCCATCTAAATAATATTAAATCTCCTCCTTGGCATCCTGTTTGTGCTAATGATGTTTATCAAGACTTCCATTTCCTCTTCTTTAGCACTGTGCTCAGCTAATGAAGAAAGGTTGGTTTCATTCAGAAAAAAGGCGTCCTAAGGACAGTCTCGTGGTTCTGGTTTGGAGCACCGCAGCTTTGGCCTCTTCCGCGGTGCCGTGTATCAGAAGCTGGGCAGAACCTGTCCTCTGTGCACAGCTGATTTAGAGCAGAAATAAAAGCTTGGCCAACAGAACAAGTCTCCTCTCACACACTGCTGTCTGAATGCTAATGGTTCCTCACCGAAGGCTAAACCTCCTTATTTCATCTGCAGCCAGATGCACGGACCAAATGAACACACTGTGTTTGTCGTATATAAACTGCTCTGCACTTAGGAGTGTAGGAGGTGAAATGTGGGCAATGTTTCAGGCCTCTGTCTTCCATTGTTTGAGACGGATGCTTAGCGTCAGGGGAAGGGCCCACCACACGGCAGGAAGCCTCGCTGCCTGAGGCCGAGGGCCAAGCCGGGGAGCCCTAGGGGGTGCCAGGGAGGGGCACGGGGCCAGCCACCTGCGGTTTGGAGGCAGCATGTTCTGAGATGCTCTGGTCTTCTACCACCCTGGGGCTGAGATCTCAAGGTCTTGGGCAGAGCTGAGTCTTTTCAGTTCATAGGAGGTGCTGTTCGAGAAGACAGAACATTCTTCTGGTGTGATGTCTGCTTCTTCCTTGTGACTCCTGCCCCTTTCTTTCTGGATTCATTCACTTTCATTTGCTCTCGTTCGCTCTGAAGTCCACAGGGCAGTCTTCCTCTTGGCTGTGGTTTTCTTTGATTCTTCATTACATTCCCCTCCTTGTGCCTGGTTCTCCTCCTGTTACCACGTCACTGTTCCCAGGACCAGAGGCGGCTGCTTTCCACGCTCTGACGGGGCCGGGGTGGGCACTCACGGCGGTGACCCTGCCGGCGGCGTGTCTCCTACGATGCGACTGCTGACGGTGAGAGTCCCTTTGACATGTCCCACATTCTCACTTTTGACTGATGTGTACATTTAGAATGAGTATTTGTGTCCTCGAAACGAGTCTTTCCTACAGAAGTTTGCCAGCGTTTTTCCCGAGTTAAAAAGTAGTTACAGGCTTGACGTGGAGACTGGGAATGGACAGTGAGGAGGGACTGAGGAGGTTCGGGTGGCTTCTCTCCATCCGGGTGTGTTCGCTTCCAACAGCAGACTGGACCCAGTCACAGCAGTGGTGCCGGTGCTGCATGCTGCCCAGCACCCACAGGGGCCGTGACCGGGTCCCGGTCCACATACTCTGCACCCACAGGGGCCGTGACCGGGTCCCGGTCCACATACTCTGCACCCACAGGGGCCGTGACCGGGTCCCGGTCCACATACTCTGCACCCACAGGGGCCGTGACCGGGTCCCGGTCCACATACTCTGCACCCACAGGGGCCGTGACCGGGTCCCGGTCCACATACTCTGCACCCACAGGGGTCGTGGCCGGGTCCCAGGGGCCGTGACCGGGTCCCAGTCCACATACTCTGCACCCACAGGGGCCGTGACCGGGTCCCGGTCCATATACTCTGCACCCACAGGGGCCATGACCGGGTCCCAGTCCACATACTCTGCACCCACAGGGGCCATGACCGGGTCCCAGTCCACATACTCTGCACCCACAGGGGCCATGACCGGGTCCCGGTCCATATACTCTGAGGACTGGGTGGTGAGGGGAGGGCAGGAGAACAATCCCTTCACTTACACCCAATCTTGCTCAAGAAAGAATTCAAGGCGACTTACAATGATCTATAAAATTCAATAAGATGCAATCAAATTAAAGAAAATAGATGAGAAAATCAGAGCGAAAGGAAAGGGAAGATGGACTAGGGTAGCTAAAACCGGGAATGCCGCCAAATCTCATCTACTTCCTACAGGCAGGACACACACTGGGCTGCGTCTCTCCGGCAGCCCAGGTGGAGAAGAAACCCGAGTCTGGTGTGCTTCATGCAAACAACAGACCTGTTGTCCAGAAGCAACATGACGCTTTCGGGAGCCGGGGCCAGAGAAAAAGTTCTTTCCTTCTCACAAAGGACATGACGTAACTGTCAACATCATCAACAAAATCCTGGCGGTGAATTTATCAGTGAGTTGTTGGGGTCACTTCTCAAAGTGCCCCTCAGTCCACTCGGAACAAGCAGTGTGGTAGTGGAGTGCAGGGGTTAACGGCTTGGGCCCTGGAGTCAGGCAGGTTTCCGAGCAGCGCTGGCTCATCGCTGCTGCCCGAGACCGTACCACTCGGGCTGGGCGTGGGGCTGAAGGGAGCGATGAATGCGAAACACTTAGTGTGATCACCGGAACCCGCTGGGCACTCAAGAAAGGCTACTGTTACTGAGCTACTGGCATGATGGCCTGAATTCCCTCTGGGCATTCCTGAACAAACACTCTCTCTTCACAGAGCTTCTGCCATGAGCATTAGCTGGCCGCCCATTAGCATGTCTGGAACAAAGTATTTTCTGTGCTCAGGAAAATGCAGAGCTGAAGACTAAGAGAATCAGCCAAGAGGCAGGATGTGCCTTATATATCCTCATACAAATTAGGAAGATTGGAAAAACATGTCTGAATAAAAGGCTACTCTCCACAAAACATAAAACACAACCTTGGCTCTGTACTAACAAACCAACAAAAGCACAACGGAGACCAGCCAAGGACAGACGCAACACTTCTGGGCATTTCCAATCCCTCGCCGGGCCACCTCTCCAAAGGTTCCTCAGTAACAAGCCCACAGGTCATCTACCTTTGATCAAGGTGTGCTCATGGCGACCACTGTAAAACCTAAACAAGCACGCGGGCAGCACCGGAGACAGAAGGTGAAGAACACACAACGCTGGAGTGAGCGGCGGCACTGCTGTGCCCTGCTAAGGGGTCTCAGCCCCCGTGGGGGCAGCTGCCAGGCGAGCCCCCCAGTTGTAGACGGTGCTCTGCGCCCTTCCTTCTGAGAAACAACAGCCAGTCTTTAAGGCCATTTCTCAAACAAAACGGCCACCAGCCGTGCTCTCTGCTGTGCCCTTGGAGTGTGGAAACCTGCCCATCTGGGCAGACCTGGGACGGAAAAGGGGGTCACGCATTCAGTTCATTCAAAGCTGGCATCAGGCGAAGCGGCTACTCGAATTCTGCTCCCCTGAGAACTGGTGTCTGATTCGCTGAGGGACCGTCCGGATCCTGGATGTGTCCCAGCGTTAGGGCTGATACAAGCACCAGCCACCAGACTCTTTGTGTCCCCGAGCCCAAAGCCAAGGGTAAATCAATAAAACTTGCACATAATCCTAGGTCTCTTCACACGGTATTAAAGAGCACAATGAACAAAAGCGATAGTGAATAGTTGCCTGCAAATACCCCACTGCTCAAGGTCGTCATTTATCAAGCGGCGGCACGGCTTTTATTTTGGAAAGAATGTCTAAGAAACGAATGGGTGTGAACTTGGAGGAACAAAGGCTTGGTCTAGACACTTACAGGATGGGTAGCATGTTGGGCCTGGTCATCGTTCACCATGTGGTGGTCCCCAAACAGTCCCGGAGACACAAAATGATCTCCAAATATATTTTTTAATCCTCACCCAATAATATTTTTCCATTTATCTTCAGATAGAGGGAGACAGAGAGAGAAACATCGACGCAAGAGACACACATCAATTGGTTGCCTCCCATGTGTCCCCGACCACGGCCAGGGACTGAACGGCAGCTGAGGTACGGGCCCTTGACCGGAATCAATCCCGAGACTGGTTCACGGGCCGATGCTCTAACCGCTGAGCCGAACTGGCCAGGACCACTTCCAAACATTTTGTTTAGCTTGAGCTTTTTTTTCTTACTCTACAAGATGAGAGGATATTTGATGTAGCTGATATTGTTTTCATATTGTATTTTCACATTTAAAAAGTTGTAAATAAATGTGTCTTTGCTTTAAGTTTTCCTGGTCATGGTGCTGCTTTAAAAAAAGAAAAGGGTTAATAACATAAAATATAAACATCAATTCTCTAGGAAAATAACAAGGCTGAAAGGAAGGCTGCCCCGCAATGGCCCTGGGTGGCCGAGGCGGAGACGCAGGGCACGCAGACGGACGGCACAGCGGCGGACGACCGCGCCCACTCCCTGCAGTCACTGCGGGGCGTCTCGCAAGGTGCCGGCGAGGACACATCCTCCAACAGCTGGACAAGGATACATTCTGGTCAAATTAAATGCCGACCTACAAGGATCACAGCCTTTCACGGGAAGCATGTCTGCTGTGACGCTGCGGGTCTGACTGGCGCCCCCACACCTGCCGGCGTCGGGCTCCGACCGTACCTGATCCAGGCAGTTGCTGCGGAGGTACCGGAGCGCTTGCTGGATGCTCTGTGGCAGCGGCTGGCCTGTTCTCTGGACGTGAACTATAAGAGGAACGCCAAAGACAGTCTTGTCTTTGTAATCGGGAACTTTCATCCTCTTCATGAACTTGGGAACTGACCTAGAATTCACAGAAAACAGGCCATCAGGGCTCCCGGGCCCGCGGTCGGAGAGGCTGCGAGGGCGAGCGCGCGGGGACCAGGCCCGCGGGACCCCGGCAGGCCCGGCTCAGCGCTTCCCCTCAATCACTGCAGCACAGGGAAGGCCGCGTGTGCCCCTGCGTGTCAGACTCAGCTGTCACACGGCTCAGCTGTCACACGGCTCAGCTGTCACACGGCGGCATTCCCGTCAGTGGGTGGGTCTACGGGTCTGTTTTCAAGTCAGGTGCTCGACTTTCTAGTTCTGTTGTGACTGCACAATTCTCAAGAAGGAAATACTTAAAAATCCCCAACAAGACAAAATAAAACCCATTTAAAAACGACAAGAAGAATTAACTTGGTTGGCTTGGGGAGAAAAAGGGGAGAGAAGATAAGCATCTCTTGGTTATAATGTTCTAGAATCAACTGTACCTTTTAAAGGAAATTTAAATACACAAGCACATATTCATTTGATCATGCAACTTATAAATTATTTTTATAAAAGCATTTCTAATTCTTCTCTATATAATATATACCATAGGACAATTAATGACACATTCTATATGCTTTCAAACCCACCAAATTATCTAAAATAGGTCCACGCTTACGTCCCAGCACAACGCCTTGTCAATTCCTCATTAGGAAGGTCTGACGCATAGTCTCGTTTTTCTTCTGTGCTTTGCCAATGAGATAAACGCAGACATGGACTTGAAGACTGAAATGCTTTTGGAAGGAATCGAGGCTCTACATGCTGGGCTCTGCACTCGTCCAAATGCCAAACAACACGTTGCCCTGCAAGCTGCCAGCATCACTTTACGGCAAGTTTATTTTTAATCCCTCTGCTCACAATCAATCACCCTTTACTTGACCTTTGTCCTTCTGGGAGCCCGAGTGCCTTCCCTGGACAGCAGCAGAGAGCTGCAAACCAAGCAGTGACCTGCAGGCCACCCCAGGGGCCAGGCGCAGGCGGGCGGGAGCAGGGGGACGGGAGGCGAGCTCCGGCGCTAGTTCAGGCCCGAGCACGCAAGGAGCCGGACCTTGGGGATCAGGCCCCAGCCGCAGCCGCACCCGCCCCTCCCGAGCCAGGCTACGCACCAGGTCCAGCCGTGCTTGCTGGACAGGGAGTGCTTCTCCATGACGGCCGTGAGGCGCAGCAGCGAGAGGCGCTGGAGCAGGTTCAGCTGGCCGGCCGTCTGGCTGCTGATGTGCGGAGACCCCGAGGACGGCCGCGGCTGGTGCGAGAGCTGGAAGCTGATCCAGCGGAGTCGCCTGTACCGAGAGACCAGCGGGGAAGCAGTCAGACGGGCGTGGCCCGGAAACACGGGTGGCCGCATCCGAGCGGCTACCCCAGACAGGTGCTGCACCAGACATCACCGGCCAGTGGCAACAGGGACACCAACGTACAGGACAGACCTGAGACACGGTTTTATTCCCTGTTCAATCTGGAAAACAGTCACTGTCGTTTTCAGCAGGAGGTTTAAACCAGTTATGTAATAGATTTCATGTGTTCATTCTACATTCATCCCCAAAGTGTTGAAAGCAGCTGATATTGTGTGTGGGGTGTGTGTGTGTGTGTGTGTGTGAGAGAGAGAGAGAGAGAGATAGATCGATCTCAAGGTCTGGGAGCCCTAGAATATTTTCATGTTGCCACCCGGTCTCGGCCCTCTAACTCCCGCTGGGTGCTGGCTGGGGCCTGCGGGTGACGGGCACAGCTGAGCGCTCCTGCAGTGACGACGACCAGCGAGTCGTCGCCGGAGACATTACTGCCTCCATGGGAAGCTGCTCGTTGGGCCCATCCGGGGCCGTCTTCCTCAGGTACTTCTGGGAGGGTCTTTGTACAATAGCTTCTATGTACTTTGTAGTTGGCATTTTAAAGCCAAAATAAACATGTGAAGTAGGCACCTTAGATCTCAGAATTTTCTCAATTAAAAGTAGTTTAACATTTGGGGTGGAGACATTTTAACCAAGGTTGTGGGACGCTCTGGGCCTCTGTTGTCAGGGACTATCTGTGGTGCTCCAGAGACCTGTGCATGTAGCTGACAGTTTTAAAAATGAAACTACGCCTGAACCTGAAGGGAAGCGCAGGGACGTGAGTGTGAGGTCAGGGCCTCGACAGCCGCGTTGACGGCAGAGACGTCCTCCCTTCGAGTGACCCTGACACACGCATCACGGAGGGCCACTCCAGGGATTCGGTAAGTGCTCTACAAATGTGTGTCAAATACATGAACAGACCACAGTGATCAAGCGGATGAAAAACTATTCCGCAAAATCATGCCACCAACCTGCTTGGCCGGGTCAGAGAGGCGCCGACACCGGAATCCCTCCTGTCTCTGACCCCGGTAGCCTCGGACTCGTTCAGTGACATGCCATCTCTGTCCACATCGCTGGGTGTTGTCCGACCTTCGGAGACAGAGTTGCCTTCGAAATCGAGGGCGATCTGACTAGAAGACGGAATGGGGCATGAGCCAGGCTTCCGAACCAAGGTGTCATGTGCGGGCAGCTCAGGCAGGACGCTCCTTGACCAGTCACCCACTACCTCCTGGAGCCCACTGAGATGGTGCAGGATGTCGCCTGAGTGGGGGACGAGGTCGTCCTTCTCCAAGTCCAAGAGGTCTCCCGTGCTGGCGTACAGGTGGGAGCCCGGGACGTTGTCATAGATGCTGACGCGGCTTGCTCTGTGGCAGGATGCCATGAGCCCGGGCTCCCTGGCGCCGGGGCCCTGCTGTCTGCCCAGGGAGATGCTGCCAGTCCTCCAGTTAACCCCATTGCTGCTGTCTGTGGGCGACAGGCTCTCGATGGACAGCGCCTTCGGGAACGTTCCTGGCTTGTGATCCTTGGGAACGTGCACTACCAAGTTCTCCTGGGAATGAAACTCGTGTGTGTGGTTTCGGCCCCCTGCATCCGGCAGTGCTGTCCCGGCCAGCACGTCGAGGTCCTCCAAGTACATGCCCCCACGCTTGCCGGCCTCCTGGCACTTCCGTTCCTTCAGGCCAGGGGTGCTCGGCCCCCCGCTGCCGTCTTCCTCTGGGCTGGTCTCCCCGCTCCCCTTGCTGGAGCTCGGGAGCCCCTTCCTGCAGGCGGCGGGGGGCGAGGGCCGGAGGTCTCCATTCGGTATGTGGACGCACTGCATGGCCTTGAAGGACTCTGGCTCCTGCTGCAGCACAGGCCCGCTGATCACCAAGCCCCCTGCCCGCCCGGACCCCTTGTGCCCGCCCTGAGCCCCTTTCCCTCGGAGCGTCTCCATGCGCTTCAGCAGCGATTTGGCCCTGGCTCTGCTGGCCTTCTCATTCTTGGGGGGGAAAGGGTAGCTGAGAGCGTCTCTGGGGGACTGTGGGAGGCCGCTGCTGACTACCGGGGCGTCCGGCACGCCCGGGCCATCGGGGCCGTCGCACGCCTCCCGGCCAGCGCCCTGGCCGCCCGGCTGGCCGCGGCCGTCGCTGCCGCCGCTGCTCCCGCTGTGGATGGAGCCGAGCTCGGGCTCACTCAGGTCTGTGAGGACGCTCTCTCTGCTCGTGGTGTTTCTCATCCTGACGTCTCCCGAGGACCCGTTCCTGTCGCCCCCAGGAAACAGCGTGTGGAGGTCGTCCACGCGAGACCAGCGCCGGCTGCTTCTTTGGAAAGTCCATTTGTTGCTGATGCAGAGATCTTCCTCATCCGAGTCGTCACCCTGGAAAACATCAAGGACAGGGCGTGTCGGCCGGCCGCTCGGATGGACGGGGAAGCCGGGGCCAGGGCAAGTCCTCGCCTCCCCTCCTCCCGCTTGTCACGCGCCCTCGGGGTTTGGGGGCACCTCTGAGTAAAGGTCCGCCACCACCGTGCCCTGCCCTGCACAGCCTCCCTCCCCGGCGGCTAGAGGTCTTCCCAGCCTGCCCAGCTTTGTTTTCAGTTTGCACAGTTTCTGATTCATTCCTTCCTCTCAGTTTTTCTCGACTGATCACGGAGGAGGTGTAATCACCGTCTGCGGTCTCTTCTTCCCACAGAAGTCCCGCTGTGAACGGCACTCGCTTCTTCCTGTGGCCTCGCTGGGCCCCAGCTTCCTCCTGTTGAACCTCAAAGCCACCACATCCCACACTAGTGCTCCTCACCTTAGGCTCCCCGACCTGACGCTAGCTGTGTATCCCCTGCACAAATCGACAGCAACATCATCTACTGACTTCCTGTAAGAGGAACCCCAGAGGCCGTCTAGGGCAGTGCACCAGCCTGCTGCCCGCGGCCTTGTTCCCAGTCATCCCTTCTGACGCCTAAGGCAGGGCCCGAACCCAGGCTGCCTTGGCCCCGCTGTGACTCCTTACACAGGTATCTGACCTGTCTGGGTGCTCCTGAGAGTGCATTCCTGGGAGCTGAGAGTCTGGGCTACCCGAGGCCAGAGATGGCCTTGTTTATCTTTGCAAATCCCTGCAGCCCCATAAGGACCTTGACCTAGAGCATTTAAATAACAACTTCCTTTCAAGGTGAGTCGAATCATCGACTCCTTCCTTCTCCTCACCACCAGGGCCCAGCTCAGATGATCCTCAGATCTATCCCTCATTTCTTTCTTTTTAAAAAATTATTAGTTTTTATTGTTGGAAGTATTACAGATGTCCCCCTTTTTTAACCATTGACCCCCTCCTTCCCGCTCCCTCTCATTTCTATCTTCACCCTCATGCCCATGCCCTTTGTTCGGCCTTTGGCACCTTTCTCTGGGCCTATCAGTCACAACCCAGCTGAGATCTTCGGCTCCGGGGTGTTCGCCATCGAAGCTGCTGTGTGCAGTGTGACCCCGCTGTGCTCACCGGGCTCCCCTCTGAGACCCTCGGCCGTCCCCAGTCTCTGGCGTGGGGTTCACAGCCCCTCACCCTGACTGCCATGTACTTACTTTCCTTGCCTCATTTCACTGGGTCCTCCCAACTTCCCTCCACTCAGCTCCCCAGCCCACAACCGCTCCCCACGTTCAGCTGTGTTGCAGGATTAGGAGTCTAAAGGGATATCCGTGGCCCACTGCTGAGAATGTTCTCTGGTTCCTGGTGACTCGTGGGCACTCAGCGCACCTGTGAAGTCCTTCCCTCTGAAGCCTCCCTGGACGGCGATACGGACCGTCAGAACGAGGAAACTCCCGGAGGAGCGGACGAGGGACTAGGGCCGAGTTCAGCAGCCCTTCGCGGCCACCTAGGGACCCTCTCTCCCTGACCAAGTACTCACAAGAGTGAATGGTCTGCACGTCTCCCCAGCCAGAGGGTAAATAGCTTAAATGACCCTACTTAGTGAGACAGAGAGCAGAAATCCAATTAGTGCCATTTGTCCCCCAAGGACAGACAAATTAAGAGAATAAATCTCATTCTGGTATATCAGCATAAAGCTGATGAATATTCTATAAGACACACCCTAAACGCCCAGCCTTTAAAACCCCTGAACACGAAGGTCCCAGGGGTTCTCCCTCCAGGGAGCACGCCCCTGCCATTCCCTTCCCCTGTTCTTCCCCCACAGGCTGCATCCCCTAAACTCCAAGGGACCCCAGGAGACTTGCAACCAGGGAGCAGGGGCAGTGGCATCCCGGGCTAACCCCTGACCTGTCCTCTGACTTCCCAGTGAGCCTAGCGGCCTGGCCTGGGCTCCCCTGTTGGCCCCCCGTTGGCCCTCCCTGTTTCACTGTCCTGACTGTGCTAGTCAATACATTCTTGCTGACTTTGCTGCACTTTGTCTCTTGACTGAAATCTTTCCTTCAAGAAGACAAGAACCGAGGTCTTGTCGTCTCGCCGGTAACAACGACTCCTTTCTCCCCTGCAGTCCTGTAGCACCGGGTCACACCTTCCTTGTAGCATTTACTCTAACGGTAACTCAGCGCAGGTCGCACGCGCACTGTCAGTCACTGTGGTGAGCTCCGCGGAGCAGGGCCTGGTCTCTGTCTTACTCAAGTTTACGTCCCTCCAATGCCAAGCTCACAGTAACTGCTCAATCCATCTGTCCACTGGACTCAGTTTATTTGGCATCTGGTTCTAAGATCCAGTTCCCTGTGCTAGTAGGACTAGTTAGAGCTACTTTCTCCTGTGTTTTTTTTTTTTTTTTTTTTTTATCACGTATAAAATGGGACTAAAAATAGGCCCTGCCTCAGGAGTCACTGTGGGGAGGGAGGGAAATGAGCGCTGAGGAGCCCCTCGCTGAGGAGTGTTTACTCTCATCTTCTAACACCGTCCGGCTGCTCATTACTGCCATCACCTGTCTTTCTACAGCCCCAACACCCACCTCATTCTCTTCGCCTTTGCCATTCTTTCTGTTTTCAAAGAAACCGCGAACAGTCAATAAATGCTGAGATATCCTCATTCGTGTTGATTTCTTGAAAGTCCAGACTCATTTGGGTTGGACTGAACGGCAAATTCGAACATGGAAGTGTAAGGTGGAAGAAAGTACACCACCCAGGTACTGACATCGAATTCTGCAGCTTTAGGTCACAGTGGAAAATTAGCCTTGAGTTGTAAAAGAAGTTGCATAAAGGTTTGGCAAAAGAGTTTAAAAAGCTGCACAAGTGGAAAAAAGGCAAGACTCTGGGACGATGATTCAAAATTATACTTTCTTTGTAGCATTTTCTACTTCCTTTCCCCCTGTGACTGATGCAATAAACCCCGACATCTGAGGGCCATTATATATCAGGCACCATCATAGGGTGAAGGTTTAGTTCTGGATTTTCATATCACATTTCAGGAAACTAGTGAGAGGAAGTTGATATTAAGTACGAATTCTGAAAAAACCCTTTTAGCAAATAGTTTCTGAGAAGGCAAAGGGATATGCTTTTAAAGAAATTATAGATATCTTAAAATAGTAACAATAATATTTAGTGTTGGCTCCAACGAGCTCTCTCAAGCTATCCCAAACGTGGTCACTGATGCTAGTAAACCACATGTAGTTGGATAAGGACTCCTTTATTTCTGCTGAGAGAGACCCGAGCTGGCACCGCAGCCTTCTCCTGACTGCTCGGCTCTGAGGGCTTATTATACTGGCTCTGGGCAACAGGAAGGTATTTGCAACCCAACAAAGCCATGTGAGAGACAGTGACCTGCTGGACAAAAGGCACACCGTTCAGGAAATGCTTTCACCATTTTGACTGCTTGAACCAAAAGGAACAAATAAAAACAAAACCAATAATAAACAAAGAAAAACGCCCATCCTCCTTCAGCACCTTCTCCTTTATCCCAGTACGTCCCAGAGGACACTGGCATGGTTCCGAATCTGTTCTCCTCCAGCTGCAGACTCCTCCAAACTGCCGACAGTGACGTGCTATAGGAGATGCATTTTCTATCGCAACTCAAGGTACACGTAGGGTTATACTAAACAAATAAGTAATTCATACTATAATTATCCTTGTTTGTATCCTGATATAGTTTATTAAATTATAGGTGACATACAACAGTATATCAGTTTCAAGTATACAACTCAGTGATTCAACATTTATACACTCTGTAATCTGGTCACCATGATAAGTTTAGTAACCGTCTGTTGCCATACAAAGTTATTATATATTGTTGATTATTTTCCCTGTGCTGTACATTACTTCCCCCTACCTCTTTATTTTATAGCTGGAAATTTGTATTTCTTATTCTCTTTCTCCCTTTTCATCCATCCCTTCACTCCCTCCCATCTGGCAACCATCAGTTTGTTCTCTGTATTTTTCGGTCTGTTTCTGTTTTGTTTGTTTTGTTTTTTAAATTCCACGTATAAGTGAAGTCATATGGTATTTGCCTTTCTCTGTCTGACTTATTTCATTTCGCTGTACTTTGATATTTTATAACTGAATTTGGTCTGCTTTCCTTTTTAGGGAATGTTGTTTGTGACCCTTCGGATGTGTCTAAGCATCCACTCCTGGCCCTGAGCCACAGTACGAAACGCGGACTGCGCTCCGCATCACGTCCATACGCTCAGCACCCAGGGCCCAGGACCAGGCGCGAGGGGCCTGCGGGGGCTGCGGTCACTGTGCGCGTGTCCTTACTGGGGAAGAGGTGATCAGATTTCATCAGGTTGATCCTTTTTTCAGGCTAAAAACAAACAGTTTGATTATTTAGGAATGCAAAGTGGAGATATCTAGGAGTCAAATGTATTTGTGAGAAAAAGAAATACCAAACTACCTATTCTCCCATCTTGGTGGTTTAGTACCATAAAAACGCTACGGACACAGACTGTCTGGACTTGGGCAAGGGAGCCGACAAAGCCCCCGATACAGCTGTGCCAGAGACGGCACCTGTGCGGGATGCTACAAAGAGCTGCTCCAGGGACCAGTTGAGTAACTTCACCAGAGTATGATCAAAAGACCAAGGAAACCTAAGGAGACATCTCTGAAGGATGCCTCAAAGTTACGTCCATTTTAGGAAGAACTTGAATGAGCCAGGACAACTCATGTTTTTAAAATGTGGCCCTGGCCAGTTTGGCTCAGCAGTTAGAACGTCGGCCTGTGGTCCCGAGAGACCCAGGTTCGGTTCCCGCTAAGGGCACGTACCTCGGTTGCAGTTTGTCCCCGGCCCTGGTTGGTCGTGCGGGTGGCAGCCACTCGATGTGTCCCTTTCACATCAATGTTTCGCGCTCTCTCTCTCTCTCTCTCTCTCTCTCCCTCCTTCCCTCCCACTCTATCTGAACAAAATATCCAAAAATGTCCTCGGGTGAGGATAAAAAAAAAAAAAATGTGAAGATGACAAGGTAATTCAT